CCCCAAAACCCCAAAACCCCAAAACCCCAAAACCCCAAATGGAGGATGAGCGGTTGAAAGAGGGGTTTTAAGGATGGAGGGAGTAGAGGGTATTAAGGTGTGTTTTTAGAGTTTTTATAGTAAGTTAGATAGATCTGTCGTGTGTTAAGGAAAGAAGTGTTGGAGATTAGTCATGGAAAATGGGGTGATGTATTTGTAATTTATCTTTGAAAGTCGTGTCTTGTTTATTTTAGATCTCCAAGAAAATTTTTCATTAGCAAGTCATAAGATATGCTACTTAAGATTCTGAACAAATTCTTTCAGAAGCCAGCATTTCCATCAACTGTCTCTTTGTATACGAGAAGTTGGTTGTTGCTGCTCTTCCATGAAGAAGAATGGCTCAGTAATCATAATACCTTGCAGTTATTTCTTCATTCTTTGTTCCTCAGATGTAGGTCTTCTTGCCATTTGCCACAATATAGGCGTTATACATCCCTTTCTTATGACAGACTCCGATGTACTTTGATCTCATTCCCAGACCTTCAGTCCGGGCAGTTTGGCATTTAGCAGAAGCTTTAATGATAACCTCTTCTGGGTTAGATATGCTTTCTATTTCTTGAAAGATCTTAGAACCTAAATTCATTGATAATTTTAAGAAATAGAAAGCAAATGCAAATTAAGCAAGTTGGAATGTTTGTTAAACTCAGTCATAAAGAAAAACTAATCAAGAATATTTACCTGATCCGAGGGAAGAAAGTCTTTGGAGAACTTTATTCTTTCTGTTCTGTTTCCTCGGCAAATCAGTAAGCCTGACCTTCTTGAGTTGCATTTCTGAGTTTGAAGATTCAGTATTTGTTTCATTATAACTCCTAATTCGTTTAGTTCTTGGTAAGCAAGGCTCTTGTTTCTTTTTCGTAGCATTTTCACTAGTCTGAGTCTTTGTTAAAGACCTTCCAGGATTTAGCTGACCTCATTGACAATAAGCACTGATATGAGGAATCTGTTGAGGCTTCTGAATAATAGGAAACATCTGAGGTGTGATAATAGGAATAAAGGTTCAGTTCATCGACATATCAGTAGGACAAAGCATGATTGTATTTGCTTCAGATAAATTCATTTATTATTTTGATTAATTTTTATTAAAAACTGTAAAATTTATAGTTTTTCCATACAGATATCCAAATTTTTTACACACATTTGTAATGAAATCAAAATGAGAATTTTATATCGAAATCATTGAGAAGAAGAATCAAAATTAAAAATAATTCCCAATCAAGAAGGTTTGCCGAAATCAGCCATTTCTAATCAAGCCAGATTCACTTAATAATTTATTCTCTTTCTTATAATTAAACAGGATAAGTATTTGAAAACTAAAATTTTGCAAGATATTTCCATCTCTTAGTAAACGATCAAAAATTACAGCCTATCAACTAAAGCTGCCAAGGAAGAATCTTCATTAAGGTTATACTAAAACCTGTGTAGGACAACTTGTGCAACACTCAGTTGTTGAAGCCTGAAGGTAATGCTCATCAATCATCCCATGATGTGCAATGGAAGTTATTTTATTTAACAGAAGCATCCTAAAATGAGAAGGTTGATAGAATAAACTTCTTTGGAACCTTAGCTACAGTTTATGTTTGGACTTAAGACTGAAGCAAAGAGAGCTATCCCCCAATTTTCTGCAGAAGAGAGCATTTCTATTGGTTCTTTATCTTTTCAGATGGAGAGGATATACATTGGGATAGTTTAGGATTTATTCAATTCTTTTCCAAGTTATTATTCTTGAGTAAAAACTATTACAACTTTGGAATATTTCTGCATCTTTATAAATTTACAAAACAAACCAATTGTTGGTAGCATTCCCATTATTTTATCTTTATAAGAACATGTATCAGGCCACATATAATAAAGATATCAAATCAATATTTATATGACTTATTAGCCGATTTTTTATGCCCAATACTTATATTTTCTCTTACTCTAAAACTTATTGGGATTATTAAACAAATTAATGCATAAATTTTTAAGATCTTTAAAAGCAGTCTTCTTGGACTCGTGATAGAAATTTTGAAGCTAAGTAGTGACTTCTGGCAACTGCTCAATGCTTTAGTGATATTTTTGACATAAAAAGCATCATTCATAAATTACCATAAGAATAACGGTAACTTGGCATGTTCAATGTAAACTTCAATTCTTCTTTAAGATTCTCATGAAGAACAGGACTATTGAGAAGAACCCTAAAGGGTTTAAGCAAATGATAGGAATAATAATGATACTATTTGTTCAATCCAATGGCATAACATGTCTACTACATCAACTGAATTGTTTACAAGGGAAGATTTTAAAGAGAGTAATAACAATAAGATTCTTCTTGAGTCCCCTTTCAGCTATAGGAGCTCTCTACATCTTCTGATGGTTATAATATTTATGAAATGCAAGTTTCTTGAAAAAAAAATAGCATGTTCTGTTTGGTCAGAGCTGCTTAGGTTTCAAAGTGTTTACATATCTAACCAAGGATGAGTAAAAACTATGTGAGTGGAAATTTTCAAAAATAAGGAGTATTAAATATTCTTGCAAGATGCAAGAATTGATATCCTATAATTTTTATTGATAAAATATCAAAATGATAACTTCAACAGTTTTGCTGGGAACATCCATGAAAATTTATAAGGACATGCATTAATTCAAGATTAACTTTAAGGAAGTCCTAATCAAAACCATAGTAAAACTTCAACAACAGGCAACAATCTTATGATCAAAGAGCTACTGGCTCTGTTCTTCCACACTCAGTAGGAAGTCTAAGCTATTTATAATTAATAGAGAACTTGTAGTCATTGACACGGAATTGCCCCATTGTTGATAATATATTAATTCAACCATTAGCGAGCTCTATGGGGTTTTGGGGTTTTGGGGTTTTGGGG